TCTGATAATCTTTATCTGTCTCTTCATGTTTCGAAGCGAGACACTGAAAACCTTTTCAAGAGTTTTGCGGATAAGGATGGGGCTTGTCCATGGGTGAGCATCTAGAGTGAGGGATTCGGTGGCGATTTCATCCTTTCACTGGAGGACTCCTAAATGTTTGTATCCTTGGGTTTTTTTCCTTTTGGAAGGTCACATCCTTGGAGATGAATTCTCCGATCTTCTGCCTGGATACCAGGGTAAGGATGTCAAGTGGGGGAGGGAACTAGAGGCTTCCTTGTTCCACATGCAGACTTTCCATTCATCCCCTGTTTTCTGTGTGGCACCTTGACTTTACTCTCAGCTGGCCTAGTGTCCAGAGCTATTCTGTTCAGTCTCACCAGGGAGCAAACCTCTCATGGTCTATCAGGCTTGTTAAGGAAGTAGGTGCCTATGGCATGGGGTGGGAGATAATTTCGGGTGGTTTAGTGACTTCTTAAACAGACTGTCAAAGATCTCTTCTCCCTTCAGCCCTGCCTTTTATTCCTACCTTCAAAAGTGATATCTTCAGTTGGTATCTCTAATTTCCGAGCCTTTCTAGAATTTTGCAGGGCAAATTGACTTTTCGTTGCCTCCTTCTGCAGGATTTAGTTTCATTGTTATCAATTCTGTAAAGCTAGTCAAGGCTCAACTAGCCATTTTCCATCTTCTAATATTTTGTTACCGCTCTCATCTCTTTTCCTGTTTTGCTAATTTGTCCTTGGGTGTTTGTACGCTTCTAAATTCACTTACTGTCATTTTAAGTGGTTTCAGAAGGGAATGGAGAAAAACAGGTGTGTTCAATACTCTATGCTTAACCAAATAACCATGTTTATTTGAATGTGTTTCAGTATGGCATTAATATTTACCCTTCAGCAGCAACAGTTACATATTCCAGTGACATGTTTATTGGTCGTTGCTTTTACTCTTATCAAATTTGATAGTCTCAATAAAAACAGGGAAATTGCTACTGGAAAATGCAATGACCTGTATCCCTAAAATACACCCATCATCATCATCACCATCACCATCACCATCACCATCACCATCACCATCACCATCACCATCATCATCACCATCACCATCACCATCACCAACCATCACCACCACCACCACAATCATCATCATCATCATCATCAACATGTATTGAGTTCTAGTTGTGTTTTAGGCAATGAGATGAAACTATTTAACTGTTACCATTTATTCTTTTGAGCACTTAGTAGGTATTATCACAACCTATTTTACTGGGTTGTAAAACCAAGCCTCTGAAAGGTTGAGGAAGTTGCATGAAATCACAAACATAGCAAATAGCAGAAAATAGCCTGGCACATAATAGGTGCTCAATATATATGTGTTGCATGAACAAATATCCTTTCTCCAGGGTCAAAAGCCACATGGAAATTATGAGGTTCCTTTCAGATGGAATAAACAGAGATAACCGGGGATGCACCCAGGAAACCTGGGAGCATGATGAGTGAGGCCCGAAAGCTAGCCTGGGCTCCACTTTCCCAGCTGTGTGCCCTGGTGCAGGGCTGCATCTGCGTGGAGGAAGGGGTGCCATTTTCAATCTCACATGCACATGTAGTATGGACTAGCAGTGGCCCAGTCTGGGGAGAAATTCTTGAGATAGGTCTCTGGACATTAAGGACAGATTAAGTGCCCTTTCAACAAATAGACTCTCAATATATGGAGAAGCAAAGACTTTTGTGTCTCTGCCACTGGCAATGCTTGCCCCACCAACATTCCGAATCAACAAGCCATGTTTTACCGATTCTCACCTGCAACCCACTGCCTCACAACCTCCAGGACTGGGGTGGTGGAAAGATCACAGATACTCATAGCTCGAGGAACGCTCTTCTCAAATATGTAATTTTCAAAGTAGTTTTATCATTCCCTAGCACTTACTCCAACATTGTAATTTTATAGAAAGCTTTCCGGGCTTGGTTTAATAAATAAAGATATCGATGGTTTTGAGATTGCTGGCTCTTTTTACTTTCTGGAAACTACTTATTTTGAGCCTTGTCAATATTTTCCATATGTCTATGTTTCTGTCAGTTTGCATTATCTGTCTTGATGCTGGGATGCTCTTGATGATTGGGGCAGGTCAGTTCTTTATTAGGGGACAGTCCCTAGCATCGTAGGACATTAGAACTCTTGGTCCTTTCTAACAAATGCCAGGAGTGCCCCCAATCATTGAGACACCACGGATGTTCCCCTCACATTTCCAAATGTCTCCCTGGGGGAATGGAACCACTCCCAGCATTGGTGTGGCCGAATTGATCACAAATTACAGATAAGTGAGATTCGAAAGGAGCCGGGATAGAACATTGCAAGACACCCTAGGGAAAGCACACACCTGGCAGAGTTGGTCAGCCACCTTCCTCCTGCACAGCCTTCCTCTTCCTCTTGGTTCTTTGGACTTTAGAGTCTTTATCAGAGAACTCGTCGAGCCCAGTTCTGTACTATTTCAATGAAAAAACATTTCCAGTACCTTAAAGGGAATGCAATGGGGAGGGTGTAGGAAGCTCTTTTTAAAATTTGGGCTTCACTTCTTGGATGTTATTTTCATGTGACCTAAGGTGTTTCCAGGCTCCAAATCTATCCACCAGTCTGACAATTATTGCAGGTACCTAGCACAACGTCGTGGGTTGTGGGGTGGTGGCTTTTATTTTGTTTCATCCTTATAACAGTTTTGCTCAACTTAAAACACTTGCCACATTCCCATTTTCTAGATGAAGAAACCGAGGCTTTAAAAAGGTATGAAACTTGACCAGAGTCAACTTTCCGATTCCAGGGTCTTTGTCTGGCAATGGGATGGTCTCTTGCTATCGAACTATTGAAAAAGGCTTGGAGGAGGGAATGGGGATGAGATGTGGGGGGTAGGTCATAAAAAGAGGTTTCTATTCAAAGCAGGTACAAATCTTAACCTCCGGGACACAACCAGTGGCATCGTTAGTATTTAACCTGTCTCCACCAGCTGGAGCATTAGTTCATCACAGATCAACGAGGAGGAAAAGGCTTTGCAGGCAATTTTCTGTTGGCACTGGAAAAGGACTGACTTGGCTGCTGTCATTAACAAATCAACACAGAACGTGGCCACCAACGCTAGCCAGAGAGTCTGATTCTGCCTTCCAGCCCTGCTACAAAAAACCCAAGACCGGAAATCTTGAGAGAGGAAGGAAAAAAGGAAACTGGCTAGTCGGTCCTAAGAAACCCAGTAAGGTGACTTCCGGGGCTCCAGTGTTTGGGGAAAGCAGACACTGCGGACCGTCAACGCCGTTCATTCATTCACACATGCATTCATTTCATTACGTTTACTGAGCATCTGCCGCCTGACAGATTCTATTCTAGGTGAAGTTAAACAACAGACTGTTTGATTTTAAACAGCAATCGGAGAAGGCCCCAGGAAGTGACTTTTGATTTACCAATACCTTGCTGGGCACTGTTTCAAGCGTTTTAAAATTATTATCTCATTAATACAAGCACCCCAAGAAAAACAGCTATGATTACTTCCATTTTTACAAAGAGACTGGGGTTAAGAGAGATGTAGTGATTTCAGAGATCTTACAGCTGGCCCGTGGTGGAACTGGGGTTTGAACCCACGCAGTCGAAACTTCAACGGCTGCACGCGTGGATGTTTGGTGTAGATAGCCTACAAACAGGGCTTAGGAAAGGGCAAGTTGCGGGTGCAAACGAGTTCTCCGTGCGTACTCACGAAGAGAACACGGTGCCACCCACGGACAAGTGTGGGCGGACTTGCATGGGGGAGCGGGCAGCGTCTCTCGATCTTCTCTGAGCTGCATCTGGACTCACCCCGTCTGTGGCTGGGGAGTTCCGTTGCCCAGCTGCAGAGGAGGTGGGCCGGTGGGGGAGGGAGCTCACTGCCAGGGTTGCCCCGGGACAGTGCCAGTCCGAAGCTCACCCCGCAGCCACCCCCGGGCCAGCTGCTCCAGTCAATAAGGCGAGGAGCTCGCGGGTGCTCGTCGCCCTCCTGGTGAGGTTCGCCCTCTCGGCTGAGGAGGGCCGCGGAGACGAGCCCCGAAAGAGCGGACTCGAGGCCTCCGCCGTCTCGACTCCCGGAGACCCGCACGCAAACAGCGCGCGGAGTTCCCCAAGCATTCCCGCGAGCGCCGCGGGCGCAGGACGGAGCCGTGGAGGGGTGTTTGGGAGCGCTCGGGGCGTGCGCAGCGCACGAGGGAGATCTACAACGTGCTGGGGTAGGAAGAGTAACAGAGAGGCGAGCGCGCGCGCCCAAGAGAGGCCTGGAGAGGGAGCCGGCACGCAGGAAAGAGGGCCGGGGGGTGCCCGAGGGAACCGCAGAGAGGGCGCTGGCGTAAAAGAAGCGAGAAAGAACTGTTGCCCCAGAGAGGGCGTGCCAAAGTGCGGAACCAGGGGTCAAGGAGAGGGTGTCGGGAGTCGCTTAGGGACTCTCAGACAGTGGCCAAAGCGGCTCCCTGGGCGCAGCCAAAGTACCGTAGGCTACGAGAGAGCCCTGCGTGCGGGAGAGCGCGAGCGCCGGGCGCGGCCGGCGGGGCGCGGAGCGCCTGCGCGCGCCCGGAAACGCAGCGTGCCGTTGCCTGTCCAGATGGCGCGCTTTGAGGGTCCAGAAAAGCGGGTTGAGGAGAACCCCAGGAGTGCCGAGGAATGTCGGAGGCAGGGAGAGAAGCCGCAAAGTCGACGGCAGAACTTTGCCCGGCTGGAGAGAGAGCGCAGCCTGGGGGCTGGAAGGAAGCGGGAAGCCCGCCCGGGGAGGCTTGGTCGGGGCTCTGAGCGCCACAAGGAGCGCAGAGGAGGCGGAGCTGGTGGAGGGAAGTTTCGAGAGCCTGAGAAAGGTGAGGAGGAGGAGGTGCAGAGGACGAGAAGAACCCTGGACGCGCAGGGCTGTGGGGAAGGGAGCCGTGTAGAGCGCGCTGGGTCTCCGGGAGGGGCGCCACGCCACCCACTGTCCCAACCCCTTGTCCCCCTCCTGGTCCTAACCCACTCACCATGATGGAGAAGACGAAAGCCACGATGTTGATGGGGTACGCGGGGCAAAAACACGAGACGATGGCGAGCCACAGGTAGTTCTTGGGCATGGGCACGTCCTCCTCGGTCTTGTCATCTTCGGTGTTGGCCTCGGGACTGCTGTCCAAAGCCCTCTTGAAGTCCGGGCTGGGGGTGTACTGAGACATGGGCGAGGCCTTGGCGGCGCGGGGACAGCAGAGGAGCGCACGGTTGGCGCGGTCTGGGACTCTGGCCCCCGGCTCCTGGCGAGGCTCTGAAAAGCCGGCGGAGCGAGGCTCAAGGGAGACGTGACCTCACCCCTCCTGCGTCCTCCGCTGGCAGCCGCCGGGGCTCAGGGACCTGGGCCAAGAGCCTCTGCACAAGAGGGAGGGAGGGAGCAAGGCAGTAAGGGGAGGTGGCAGGCGGGGAGAGGGAGCGCGCCCGCCTGAGAAACGGGGGAATGGCACTCGACGGACACACCCAAAGACCTGACAGACGCAGACTCACTCAGAAGTCCGGAATAAAAGTTTTAGGGAGGAGGGAGAAGAGGAGCTTCAGGGAAGCGGGCAGCAAAGCTCCTTCAAATTGCAAACTGGCCAGCCCGTGGGCTGAAGATGACCAGCCTATTTTTTTTTTTTTTAAAGCAGCTGAATTCGAATGCATTTAGACGGAACAGGAGGTCACCCAAATCTATCCAGTTGGCCACAGAGTTCCTATTTCCTCTTGACTTCAATAATTTACATTATTGTCTGGCCCCCTGAGGCACTTAATTTGCTTCCCCTGCCCCAATGCCTTCTTCCGCTCAGATCTTGAACAGTGAGCCTCAGTAATTTCTCTTCCCCCGAAGGTGGGCAGGGAGCAAGGGGCCCAGCTTTGGGTCCAGCCCTTTCCACGCTGCTCTTGGATTTCTGGAGACTGGAGTCCAGGATAGCCCGGCAGTGGGCACCTCCCAGCCAGGATCCGCCCTGGTGCCCTCCATATTTTCTCAAGTGTGGAAACAGGGACTTGTGGAAACAGTTCTCTCCGCTTTTCCAGCTACAGGGCCCCTGGAAAGAGAAGCAGGTAGATCTGGCTGGTGTAGACAACCCAGGTGGATAATTGGGAGAAGAGAGAGGGATCCACTTTGGGCACCAGGGTTGAGGATACCAGTTACAACAATATCTCAGTAATTCATGAAAACGGTTAGGGACCAGAACCGAGGCTCTGAACCCAGACGGCTGGGAAATCGTCTCATCTGAGTTGAGTGACCTCAAGAACGACCCTTCACCTTGCTGAGTTCCAATTTTTCCATCTGAAAAAAGTGGAATAATAAGTCTCTGCCTCATAGGGACCTTGTGAAGGTTCTATGAGATTGCATGTGAAGGCAGGTGAATCTAAGTGCTCAATAAATGTTAGCTATTTTCGGACATTAATTCCACCCCCAAATAGTCGTTATACAGTATGGGAGATGCAATATCCATTGTTGCAAATATTTCACCCCAAATCCAGATATGTTGAGTTGGCAGAGCCACAAGGAAATGCAAATAATTTTATGATGCCCGGTCTTAAAAACAGTTGCTCACATCATCACTCGAAAGTATTAATCATCCACTTGGCTTTCTCCGAACATGAACTGATTGTCTGGGGTGTTTTCACCTATCTCATGGGACCATATTTGTTTCGTTATCTGCCTCCCTCGCTGGACTGTAACTCCTTGAGAGAGGGGACTGTCTTGCTCATCTTTGAGTCACCCCTCGGCACAGTGCCTGGTACGAAGTATGTGTTTAGTACAGCTCATTGGGTGAATACATAAAGATGAAATAATACCTCGTCGGCCATGTTTTCTCCCTCATTTTGGTTGGTTAATCAAGTGGGAATAAACCCAAAATTAGATTAATTGACTGAGTTCTCTATCAAGCCTTTGCATTGGCTGTTGCCTCTGCCTGGACTGTCACATGGCTGCTGTTATATCTCAGCTGGCAACAGAAATGTCACTTCCTCAGAGAGAGATCTTCTCTTTAGATTGATCTGGTGTAGGTCGCCATAATTATTCTTTATTTTACCAGCTTTTTCTGTGGCATGTATCACTATTGAGCTTTGTATACTTGTTCGCTGACTGTTCTTTCTCTAGACTGCAACTTGTTCAGAGTTGTAGCCCCAGTACTTAAAATTATCCCGGCACACAGTAGGAATGCAAAAAATATTTCTTGAATGAATGGATCAGAAGTATCTGAGAGTACTGAAAAAATGACTTCCAGATCTGGATCAAGAATTAGATACAGTTACCCACGGGGGTAGCCCAGAAATCTGTATTCTAAATGCCTGAGGAATCTATATTTTTAGAACACTCCCCAGTGGCTTGGATGCAATTGAACATTTTCTCCAATCCCAATACTGTCTCTAGTTATTAAGACATAGTTTTGGAGCTTTCGTTTGGGGATTCCCTCTGGTGCCTCATACTCAGCATGTCAAAGGTGAAAGCTTCTTTCCCAGGAACCTACTTCTTCAGGCTCAGCCCATGGCTCCTGGGTCCTTCCCACCTCTCCAGCTTTCCCTCCTGCCAGTCCTCTCCTCCCATTATGCTCCAGTACTGAGGCCTTCCCCCACTGCCTTCCTCAAACTTCCCCCACCTCCTTCCTCAAATACACCTAGCTTTTTTATTTTTCCCCACACTAGGTTTTTACACCGGATGTTCCTTCTTCCTGTAAGGCTTCCCTTCCTATCTTCCTTCTCGTCTTCCGGGACCCACCACCTCACATATCACCTCCTGAGAGAGTCCTTCCCCGACCAAAATAAAGTAACCTCCATCCTCTTCTTCTCCATCCCATTATTCTGTACGTTTCTCTCATCGCAGTTATCACAACCAGAAATTGAGTGAGTTATTTATTCATTTGTTTATTTACTTACTTACTTACTATTGTCTGTCTTCCCCACTAGAAGATAAACTCACAAGAGGGAGATTTTTTTTTTTTCCTGTTCGGTTCACTGTGGTGTCCTTTATGCTTGGAACAGTTCCTGGCCCTTAGTAGGTGCTCAATAGATAATCTACACATCGATAAACTGCATTTAGTCATCCCGATTAGGAAGTTAGGGGCATTATTCTTCTCTTAAGCCGTTTCCTGAACAATCTATCAAACCCTATTTATTTCTCAAACATGACTCTTTATCCTCTTTCTCCCATCCCCACGGCCAGTGTTCCAATTATAACTCTTATCAACAAAGAGAAAGCTCATTGGGTGCTGTCTGCGCCATATTGATGATCTGAGGCTGGTGAGTTTAGCTGGCTAAGCCCAAGGTTTAGGTAGCAAATGGAATTTTGCTGTTTCAAGGTCATGATCCAACCCACTTGTGTCATCCAGGGAAGTACATAAGAAAGAGCTCTTGACTCAGCAGAGCCCATCTCCTCTGCCAGGAAAACAACTGTTCAACACTGGTCTAATACCTAATGTTTGTCGAGTACCTACCGTGTGCTCTCAGTGCATTCCTTAGATGCATTATCTCAGTTAATTTCTACAGCAGCATTTGTGAGGTAGGTGGAGACGCTTCCTTTTTACAAATGAGGAAACCCAGGACCAGAGAGGGAAAGGGTCTTCTGTAAGGTCTTTTACACAAGAAAGTGGAGGTACTAAGATTTCAACCAGGTCTAAATGCTTGTTTAGCTAGCGGGTCCAAGCAAGAGAGTTAGATGGACATCTCTGAAGTTTGCTGGAGTTATTATATTCTGCTCAAAGAAGATAGATTAATAGTTTGTTGACTGGTCTAAAATGTAGCAGTGAAATTGCAATCACTTGCAATATTTACAATTAAATGGGAAAGAAAGTGCCCACACCAGAAAGTGTAATGTATATGGTGTGATTCTTGAAGGATGCATTAGGCCACTCAGTAGGGGCTTCCAGCTCTAATTTCCTGAGCTTCACTAATTTTCTCTTGAGAGGTCAGTTTATTGCTCTTGAAAAAAACCCCAAATGGCTGATTGCTTTAATAATGTGGCAGTACCTTCCCTCTTTAAAATGAGAAGAGAAAGTGACTTCCTAATAGCCAGTCCAAGAGAAGGAAAAGGCTTATTATTGTACCTTTCTGAATCCTGATGTAGCAACTAATCATTTTTGACCTTTGCAAAAACGTTTTATTTCCAAATGTAAAAGGAATATATCTTCATTCATTCATTTACGCTTTGAAGAAAAATATAAATAAGAAGAAATATCACTGAGATTCTACCATCCAGTGGTAACCACTACAACAATTAGGGGTTATTTCCTTCCAGTTCTTTCTATATGTATATACTTCTTTTCAGTACAATGAGTTTTGTTCCCTGCTTTTCTCATCCAATGTTATATGACTAGTCACATTCTTTGAAGGTATTTTCATAGTCTGCATAATTTCCCATTGATTAGATGAATTATTATTTATGTAACCATTCTCTGATCGTTAGGTATTTAGATTTGTTTTTCCCCCGTGGGTTTTTGTTGTTATTATGTAAAATGCTGTCATGGACATCTTTTGCACTCAGTTATCTGCATTTTGTGATCATTTCTTTGTGACTCATCTTAGAGAGTAGATGTGTGTGTCTTTGAAATGGCAGAGAAAACTCAGATTGGCATTGGCTGGTTGAGAAGTTGTATTATAAGATATGTCCCAAAGGTAAAATTAAAATTTAGGCCAAGGAAACAGTCACAGATTCAGTGGAGTACAGAAACGAGATGATTCATATAAGATGAAATGAGATGGATTCAAAGAACAACCTTCTAATGCCACGTGGATCCTCCAATCTATGATCTTCAATGGGGAGATGTCAAATCTCTGAGCATGTGCTGGAAATCTATGCTTTTCAATCTTAGCTATGTCTAGGATTCCAAATAGGAGGGAGGGAGAGAGGAAGGGAGGGAGGGAGCCAGAGGGAGAGAGAGAGAGCACGTGAGGGAGGGGGTAGGGAAGATATTGAGATTCTGCTGATCTGTGAAAATGCAAGAGAAAGATTTTAGATATTTAGAAATGGTAAGAGGTCGAGTTCATCTGCTGCCAAATTTCGCATTAGTCTCAAGTACCAGCCTTTAGCAGTCATAGCGTAACTGCTGTGGTCTCAGGGGTTTGCTACAAAAGAACACTATCTTTTCGGCTAATATTATTAGAAAACCTTTTACCCTTCCAGTTTGTAACAACTTTGATCTTCTCACAAGAGTGGGGGGAATGCAAAACTGAGGAGAGGAAGTATGAGGGGAAACAGATTCTGCATTGTAAAAGTTTAAAGCCATGCCATTTAATAAAACCACTTCAGGATAGAGGGACAGAAAACACAAACCCTCTCAGACTCAAAATGCAATCCTTTTCCCTTTTGTCTTCTATTTTCCAGAAAAGAACAGTATCCATGCCATCATTTTTCTTGCCGATTAGGTGAGATATATATATATATATAT